TTCCCGGGACAACTGAAGCACAAGCACTGGTTCAAAGATGCATCCCGTCTGTGTCCACCCTACCTTTGACAGAGGTGTTGGGTGGCGGTCCCTCGATGCGCAGGTTCCACGGCGGATCTCCCTGGTTGGCGAAGTCCCGCATCTTCAGGTAGCTGATGGTGAGCCGGATGATGGAGGCCTTGTCCAGCTGGCTGGTGATGGCGCCTGGCAGCGGCAGCATCTTGGCTAGCTCATAAAATTCAAAGTTCTCCTTTCCCCGCCGCGATCGTGCCGCATCCCGCGACTTCTCCTTCCTCAGAGCTTGCAGCCTGGATGGAGAGAAGAGGACGTAAGAAACAGGATTAAGAAAACCAGGATGTGTAGAAAGGGATTCACAGTAGACGTGAGACAAAACTTCACAGTGGAGAAAAAACAAATCAAAGAAAAACCATAATGCACCAGAAACTCCAAGCCATAAATAAAGTGCCTGACTGTACTTAAATTGTACTTGGACGTTAAAATAACCAAACAAAATAACGCCAAGAGAGAAACATACACAATAAATTCTAGCAATAGTTAAACTTAGAGGTATTTAAGTGATTTACAGCTTGAGGAATCACAAGAGAGAAATTTTAAAAAGCTCAAATTAAATGCAGCAAGATAATCTTTCAATCGCTGGTGTGGTTTAAGCAAACAGAACTTTGGAATCTGCTCCAAATCAAAACTCGTCCATCATTGATGCTTCCATGTAGACTGCTCAGAGATCCACTGAACTCACATCGTAAGCACACACAACAATCGCCACACAAACTAAAAGTCCTGTGTTCAAGCACAGAAATAGTGTCATCAAAATATACCTGAAAGTAAAAGTATAGTCATTATGTAGAATGGCTTTTAAGTTACTGGATTATAACTACTGATGTATTATTGTCTACGTCACGTTAATGATGCAGCTGATAAAGGTGGGGCTCATTTTAACTGCCTTGCAGTTTATGTTGTTTTGACGATTATATGTTTTTAGTCTAACAGTTACAATTTGAAGTACTTCACATCCTGCTGAGCAGCTTGCAAATGATCATTATACTGTACTTTATTAGTCTGATACTGAAAAGTAACAAAAGTTATCAGATAAATGTATTGAAGTAAAAGTTGACGTCAAAGTAGGAAGTAGAAGAAAATGTCCTGAAGTACTTCAGTAAATGTACTTGGTTACTTTCCGCCATGTGGGAAAACCTCAGGTGAACTTCAGAAACCTCTGGAAGCTCCACAACAGCTACACCACTAAACAGACTGGGTGGTGTTTCATGATTTGCGCTCTGGTCCAGACTTTTGGACGGTGCTGCAGTGTATAAAACTGACTTAACCATTTCTACATGTAGCACTTTTCTTGTGCTTTATGTTTATCAGCCTTCTCCTGGCTCTGGCTCTGGCAGACGACAGTTTCTAGATGGCATCACCCTCGGCGATCGCTCAGGGAAACTGCACCAACACCCCCTTTCCTCACTCCTTCACAGAACTTTTTCATAACCGGTCTCTCCCTTCCTTTATTCCACGACTTCCTCTTTTCCTCCATCAGTTTCCACTCTATTACTTCATATCAAAGAGCTGCTCTGTTTATGTTCTCTCTCTCTTTCAACCTTCAACAACAACAGTGAACACCACACTTTCCCGCGGCCTCTCATCATTGTCGGACGCCGTTATGAATTAACTCCGCAATAAATCAGCTGGTAAAAACCTCTGTGGGCTTCCTGCTGGCCACGCGTGCGCGCGCACACACACACACACACACACAAAGACAGGTGATTAATTTTTGCTTGAGAAAGAAAATGCTGGAGAAGAAGTGTTAGAGGAATAAAAAGGGGGAGGGGGGGTGGAAAGAAAAGGAGAAGGATGAGATGGAGGGATAGCGGACAAACACTTTAGAGGAGGAGGAGTTGTTTCAGGCTAGAGATGAATAATGGCTGTCATCTGGCTAAGAACATCATGTTCATGCTGTTTGGCATTTATTTATCAGGGAGAACAAACAATAAATGAAGAGGAGAGGAATTTCTGTGGTCAAAGTGTCCTTAGCCAAAGTCTCTTTAAAGGCACGACCTATATATATCTTCCACACAGGAACCAGAAACCACTAGTTTGGGTTATCTTTCCTTGCCGTTCTTGGTATTCAGAGAATAACCACATAACTTCATCAGAACACAATCTACTTTGTTGTTGTCTATCTGGTCACGTGCAACTGAACAATACAAATGGCTGGTGAGAACGACATATTAATTATGTTCAGGGACAAAAACAATGTGGTTACATTTAGGGAAATATCAGTTTATGTTATCACAGTTAGAGAACCTCAAGATCAACATTACTATATTAAAAATACAGTTAATTATCGGTTTGAAATTTTGTTGAATGTGAGTTTATTCTTTGCTCCTGTCAGAATTACAATGGCCGCTAACAGAGCCTAACCATGGGCTCATGATAACCTGCTTGCACAGACAGGGAGGACAGTCTCAGCCTATCCCACCTAACAAGACTGAAAAAATGACAATGACACATTCAAGGTCAAGTACTGATATTTCACTGATCCTCAGTGCTCAGTGCTGTCTGGTAAAAATGACTTTTCTATACAACTAATCTGCCACAGCGGATACACTTTCTAGGAAAGGGACAGTAATCATGGCTGGACTGTGTTCAGGTGCAAAGTATATTTATTTGAATGAATGCAACAACATGCACACATGTAGACCCATGCTGGACTCAGGACTTTAGACAACAAAACACTTTGGTTCAGTTCAGGGAAAGATGGTTTTGGTTAAACAAAGAACCACGCTGTGTCTAAAGTCACTGTGAGTCTGTATTAAACCAGACCAGCATCTTTCCCTGACCTGAACCAAGTGCAGTAAGAGTCGGATGATGCACCGCGAGAGCAAATAGTTTGGCAGAAAACAAATACAGTACACTGTCTGGAAACATTTTAACACTCACTATCAATGTATTTGCAACTTGGCAAACATGTAAATTGATGTTATATCCTCAGAAATTAATAGCAAGTGTTATCTGCTCCCTTCTGTTGTGACCCTTCCATCAAAACCTATTTGCAGTTACAGGTCTGTTGTATAGAAACATCACTACTAGAAGACATGGTTGCAGTGCTACATGCACATTTTGGCAAGCACTAAGGAAGTATTGAGTTTCAATACTCACCATTTAGATTTATAGTGGGGTAGCTAAGGCAACATTTGTGTGTGTTTTCACTATGTTCACTGTATTTGCTCCCACAGATTTATGTGTGTGTGTAAGAAGCCTGCAGTGATGGCTGCTGGAGAGTGAGGAGCAGCCAGGAAGATGGAATTTATTTGTTACGCAAACCTGGAAAGCATTATGTTGATGGGCAACAAATATGTCTTTATGTCTGTCTGCTGTGTGTGTGTGTGTGTGTGTGAGAGAGAGAAAGAGAGAGAGAGAGAGAGAGTGGACAAGTAGGTTTGTTTGACCTTGACTCAGAGAGACATATTTATCATGTACCGGCTGAGTAGGTAAATGCAACACTCAGTGTGGTTTCTCTGTGAGTGTGTGTGTGTGTGTGTGTCGGTGTTTGGGTCTTATAAACATGAAATGAAACCATGTCGTAAAGTTCAGCCGGGTGACTTGATGGTGTTTTAAAGAGCTTGTCACACCAGTCGAGGTGTGTGTGTGAGAGAGAGAAAGAGAGTGTGTGATGTCGTAAAGTTCATCGAGGTGGGTCGATGGCTTTTTAAAGAGCTTGTCAGCTGAAAGTAAGAGATATGTGTGTTTCTCTGTGTGTGTGACTATTTTAAGAGCGTGTAGGCAGAGAGCATGCTGGGAAGGTCGAGGTTTAACTTCCAGGTCAAGTGAGGCTCAAACTGACCATCAGTCATGTGACGGGATGAACAGATTTACAGTCTGAGCTCCTCACAGACTGAAATATCTGATTTATAAAAAAGTTAAAGTTCCTCCATCTTTCCTTTCAGCCCAGAGGGTCTAGTAAAACTCAAAACAAACTGACACCAGCTGCCGCTCCTAACTGCTCTTTATCCCTCCTATCCCTCCTGTTTCCTAGCAACAACGTAAACTATGAATGCTGGTTGGGACAAACTGCAGCATCCAGGCTGAAGCTAGGGTTAGCTGGCTAACAGTAACTGTGTCAGTCCAGTAGAACACTGATGTTACACAAAGCTCCAGTTCCTCCCAAATTAAAATCCTATTAATTAAACCCAAAGGTAAAATCCTGACCATGCTAGGTGGCTAATGCTACCAAAACAAACAGGTTAGCTTTAGATGCTAACATGTCCAGAAGGAAGAAGGCCACATCTGGATCCAGTCTGAGTCCTCTGGCTGCTTTTAACCCTCTCCATGTCAAACAGCCAAACCCATGTTAACCCTGGTTGTTGCTCTTTCTTTGTCCCACTGTCTCTGTGCTAAAGACGCCACCGCTTCACTCTGGTAGCCGCTGGTTCAGACTTTTAGCTGCCCAGAGCTCCTCCATGGCTGTTTGACATGACTACTGGCTGGAAAAACCCTTCCTCTAACCTTGGCTAGGCGGCAGGTGGGGCTGATTTACAGACCGTACTTTGACAACACAGGGTGGAGAAGCTGGAATAACAACAGGAGGCTGTAGGCAGCAGAGGGTCATGGAGGGGAGGTGTAGCTGAGAGACACCGCGTCCTATCCCACTGTCACTGGGCTTGTCAGACACCGTGGGGAACCTTAATGCACCTTTAAGTAATAAAACCCTAACACATGGTGTGGCCTGCCCATGACGGCACCACATTTGCAGGTTTACAGCCTGCCATGCTACTGATAGCATCAAAGTTGCTTTGTAAACAGATGAACAGGAACCAACACATTTGGATTCAGTCAGGCGGCCCATCATACAAACTAGCTCACTAGAGAGGCCTAACCAGGCCAAAAGTCTAGGTTTCAAAAACTCTACCTTATATAATAGTGGATGATATAGTCAGAAAAGGAACCTGACCGATTCACTAAATAAAATCTACACAGAGGACTTCGGTAGATCGTGTTTTACTGCTTTTACTGCTTACTTACTTTGGTCTTGAAGCTCAGTGTGTAGTCATAATCCTCAGAGAAAACCAAGTTTACACTCCCTGCCTCATTTTGTTTGAACCAAAGTCAATTTCTGTTCAGTTTACATTCTGCACGTCTCAGCTTAATTTTTCTGTTCTGTCCAGATATCTGTTTACATGATCAGCTCATTCATCCACAGAGGCCAAAGTGAGAGAACTAATATTTAAAAAAATTTTTTTTTTAAATCCATGCAGGAACACCTCTGATGAGATAAAGAGAAACATGGCAG